TTTTTGTGGGGCGGCGACCGCAGGCGGCTGGGGAGCGAACCGAAAGTGGAGGTTGCCGTCAGCCTTGACACCACCAAAGCCCTGACCGCAGCCATGGCAGCGCGCGCACAGCAAGATCGCAGGGTCACGCAGAAACCTGCGCAGTAGCTGCCCACTGACCACGCCCGTGGGCAGGGCCGCGCCTGCGCAGAGACGCTGGGTCGAAAAGCCCCGCGATCCGCCCCGGGCATGGTCCTATTCCACAAGGGCGCCGGTGGGCAGGGCCGCGCCTGCGCAGAGCCCTCTGAACCTCCCTGCACTGCAGGGCGCTATCCCAGGAGCTAGCCGACCTGCGCACGGTCAAGTGTAGATCCCGGCACTGACTCCTCCTTTCTAGCAATAGGGCTTCCCGACACCCCTGCCTGGGATCCCGGTGATCTTCAGAGCCTGCTCGTTGGCGGTGGGCACCTCAATCAGTGCCTTGGGGCCGGCCTCCTGTTCTTTGGGAATGGCTCCAAGTGACCCACAGTGGCCTGAGCAGGACCACTGCTCTAGTGACCTCGACGCTAGGCAGTTTTAACTTCCTGGATTAGGTCCCTTCCCTTCTGGATTTTGCTGATTGCACTGCGATGTAATTGCTGTTCCCCTAGAGGCTCAAATCCGGTTAGTTTTGGGCCAAGAACAGCCACAGATTTCTAGTTGTTGTTCTGTGTACGGCTGTTACAGATCCTATATGTAGAACTGTCAAGGCACTGCAAAATGGGGATACTGCGAGAATCTTTCAGATGCCAGCTGGAACTCTTCCATTAAGAAAAAAGGCCCGTTTGGGAAGGTCGAGAGGAATGGCTCTTTTTTCCCTTGATCTACCAGTTCCCAAACTATCATACCCAGATTTTTGGAATAAGTTGAATGCCACTGCCGGAGGATGCTGGGCCTCTGCAATTGAAGTCTGAGCCCAGGGCTGTTATATTTCAGCCCCAGGCTACTATTGTCCTCACTGATAGCCAAACTGTTCATTATTAAGACTTCTGTTCATTTCTGGGAGGTAACAGGAATTAGAATAACAAACTTGGGATACTTGTAACTTTTGAGTTTGGAAGGTTTCACTGTGCTAATTCCTGGACCCCCACCCCTTACTTTCCCACTTCCACAGATGGGCTCAAAGGAGCTGTTCTAAAGGTTTTCCCACTGCCAAGCTCCCAGTAGGGATGGGTTAGCTCCCTCCCTTCCCTTTTATCCAAAATACCAGCTGTTATAGAGTGATGACACTAAACTCCACTCTCTGAGGAAGGAAATGCTAAAATGAAGGTTCTGATCTAGTAGGTCTGGGGGTCAGGGTCCTGCCTCTATTGAGTGTCCAGGGGCTGTTGCAGCCAGCCTGCACAGGAGGCTGGTACCCCCAGCCATCCTCACCCCAGGGCGTCTGCTCAGCTGTGCACACATGGCACCACGTGGGTGGGGGTAAGGATAGGAGAACATAGAAAATCCTATTTAGGATAGGAAGAGCTAATGATTCTATTTTCCAATCTAAGTCACACATAGAAGCATTGTTTTGGAACAAAACAGGTGCTGTCGGGGGCCCAAGCTCTTTGTAGATCTGAGCTCAGCCAGGCGTGGAGATTGAGCACTCCCAGGTCACAGGGTACCTGCCTGTCTGATGGTGGTGGTGCCGGCAGTGCACAGGGATCACTGCTATCCACTGTCATGCGCAACATTTGCACAGCACTGAAGCACTGTGCTGTGTCCCCCCCTCCCCCCTGGGAGGCCATGTTACCAGGAAGACCAGGCACCCTGGCTGCAATGGAGAAGCAGGCCTCGGCACTCTCACGATGCCCCTTCCTGAGGGCACCACGAGCAGGAGTTCTTCCCATCAAGAGCAGGTGCAGCAGGTCTGCATGAGCTCACTAGGACAGGCCAGCCCTGGCTCCCAGGCTCCAGAGCATCAGTACCACCCCCTTACTCTGTGAAGGCACCGATTACAGGGCAAGGGCCTGCTGGACCACAGGACACCCTGCCCTCCTGGCCTGTTCCACTAGGTCAGAGGAGCAGGTGGGCAGGCAGGCATCCCAACCCCTGAATGACACTGAGCTTCCCAATCCTGTGGTATATACAAATGTTTTTAATCCATTGTAGACTTAATCCTCACATTTTAGGAAATCCCATTTTTTATAACTAAATTCATCATATGAACTTTAAAAAATATAAATACTCTCAGAGAAAGTTCATGAGCCCACAACATGGACCTGTTCACCTCTCTCAACAATGTGTCCAACAGCAGACACCTCCCCATCTGTCAGGGAGCAAGAACCCATACTGTCTGTCTCCTGGGCCTAGTGCGAAGCACCTGCCAGCCCCAGGCACTGATGACATCAGTCCTGGCAGGTTGCGTGCTGGGTCTTAAAGGAGAAGTCACCTCCCGGGCCCCTCCTATTTCCTGGGCCCTGGTGGTGTGAGGGTCCTGTCCCCTTGGCACTCTAGGCCAGCAACTCTTCTTCCTCTCCATCTGTGCCTCCCCTGAGCAGATGTAGACTGTCATCATCAGAAGTCTCTGTTTCCTCTTCACTGTCCAGCCCTTCTGAGGGGCGTTTCATGCCCCGTTGCTTGGAAAGTGCCAAGGCATACTGAATGTTGTAGCGGTTCCAATCACAGCTGTTAACAACACAAAGGATCAGGTCAGTGCAAGAGCAACTGCTTCAATGTCATATCAGCACCCCAACCCACCATGCATCCAGCCACTTTCTCCATAACCCTGAGAAAAGTCAGCATGGAGACCAGCAGTTAGTGTAATGGCTCTACCGCTGAACTCCAATGTAAATGTAGTCGACTATGGTTTGAGTCCCGGACCCGGTGGCTTAAACTCACAAGGGGGCGTGTGAGATCCCAAGATGAATGGAGGAGGAGTGGTAGCAACATAGCTATCCCCCCTGGGAGGTGATTTCTCGTTTTCTATCTCTCTTTCTGGCGTGCGCACACGCCCTATAGCAAAAAAAAAAAAAAAAAAGAAAAGAAAAAGAAAAAAACAAAACAACAACAAACCTCTCCAAAAAATAAAAAGAAAAACCAGCATGGATGGCCCATGGTTTGGCCCAGCCCCCACTTCACTACTAATTTGTTTCCTTGTCTTTTCCCTCTCAGCAATCCGATGCCTACCTGAGCTCGCCTAGAGCAACAACCAGAACCCAATTGCTAAACCCAACTTCTGGTACATCCTCCCCAGATGCCTGCAACTGGAACTTCCACCAAACAGCTGAGGAAAGGACTGCTGCAGAGCTGCAGGGATGTTTCAGAGCAGAAGAGGCTCTGTGACCCAGTGAAGTTTCCCATGTTACCAAACAAGAGAGAAAGCACACCATGGTTTTGCACAGGAAGCAATGTAGTACGGTGGCACAAAGGGCAAAGGATTAGAAAGAAACAGGAACAGCAAGCCAGTGTGTCTGCAGCTGGTGGTGTGACTGCACAGGATCCACCGATGAGGGACATGGAGGCCAGCCACACCCAGACAAGGCAAGAGCCCACTAGAAAAGGAAGTCTGATGTGTGACACCTCATGCCAACTCCCCAAACCTCAAGCAACACAGAGTATAGCTAACAGAAGACGGCAGCCTTTCTCAGTTAAGCATTGAGAGCTCGCTCTCCCAGGGCAGATGGCAGTGCTCCCACCAGCCCGCTTTCCCACAGGGCAGCCAGGACGCTCAGGGAAGCACAGGAAAGGCTTTCTCTAGTCTAACCAGGGACCAGCACAAGGACAGATGAGGGGAGCATGGGGTTGCTCCATGTCCAGATTCAGGCCTTAGCCTGTGGACTCTGGACAGAACAGGGGACAGGACTGAGAAGAGACCTCTCAGGAGCGAAGCTGGCACAGCTGGTAACTGATCTTTGACAAGAGGGAAGTAGGCCTTCAAGAGGCCACACTATGAGGTCTTTATGGTGTGGACACTGCTGGGGATGGAAAGTCCAAGAACCATAAATCACTCCCACACCAGCAGGACTGCACAGGTGCCTAAACTGTCTAATGCTATCATTATGATCCCCATTTTCCTGCCAAGGAAACAAGCTCAGAGCTGTTACACCCCAGGGAATCCAGATTGCCTGGGCCCAAGGTCCTGTGATGACTCCACTGTGTATGCAAGCAATATGCAAATCTGGGAAAGACTTGCCTGGACCTAAGAACCTGCCGTGAGGTTGAAAGATGCTTTTTTTAAAAAAAGAATTAATTTATTATTATTTTATAAATCTGTCCAGAGAGAGACAGAGAAAGAAAATAAGCTGCCAGGTCTGGGACTCAAACCGTAATTGACCATGAGTCCAGCGCCATAACCACCTGCCAGCCCTGAGGGTAAAAGATTCTAAAAGCACCTTGGCACAGACCACCCCTTGCTGTCTGGCTACTGCAAGTAAGCAGCATTTCCTTCCTTTTAGCACAAAGCCATGTACGATGCTGGGCAACCAAGTACCACCTGAGGGTGGCCAGGCGGATCTAACTCCCCAGCAGGTGAGAGAGCAGGCACTCCAACACCAGAACCTTCTGTCCCCACATCGGATGACATGGGGAGCAAGTCCCATGGGACATCAGCATAAACTAACCCTCCCTACCAGCACCCTAGCCCACCCAGCACCCCACAGCCACACATACAGTTTAGAAATGTCATCCAAGTGCCGCTGGATGCTCTTCTGAAGGAACTGGACCACTGGCAGCAGCTTCCCTGCTCTGCAAGAGACTTCAGTGACTGGCAGTCCTTAAAACACTACCCACAGCCACAGCCCATCCTGTGTTTGCATGAGGAACCGTGGGTGGACCTTGTACCTGGCCTTCAGCTTCTGGCCATGCAACAGGAGCAGCTTCTGAGTCCACATTAGGTAGAATTCCAGGTGGCGAGACACCTCAAAGGAGGAAGCTAAAAACTCGAGCACTTTCTCTACATACAACTCAGGGAGGGAGGAGCTGACGACTTCAACTGCAAAAGAAGAAAAATGTGCTTACTTCATAGAGAATCAGCTTAGGAGGAAGTACAGTGCCACCTGGTACCCTCCTGCATCTGCCCAACCAGCAAGCAGGTTAGAGGCGGTGTCTCCACCACAACACTCACTCTCATCCTTGGGTACCGACTCTAGGACCTCCTGCACCAGCTTCTTCTCGTTGAGCCTCAAAGCCATAAGGATGGCTCTGGTGAATGCCTGCTGGCGCAGTGCCTCACGGATCTGCCCAGGGGTGATACTGGTGTCCAGTTCAAAAGGGTCAAACAGCATCTGGGCATCCAGGGAGTAGATTAGGAGCCCCTCCGTAGTGGTAGCAGCCCAGCAGCGCCCTGGGGGAGGAAGCAGAAAAGCCATCTCCTAACGCTGAAGCTCATTTTTTCTTAAGACAGGAAAGGTCTTACATACGTTCCCATGGTCCATAAGAGGAAAGTATGACCTGGGACATCTTCCCTTTACCCCACCTGTCTCTGGACCTTCCTCATGGACACTCTCCAAGAGCTGTTCTACGTAAATAAGGTAGTTGGTGTATGTGTTTGCTTTTCCCCTCTTCTCGCCCCCGGAGCCAGCGTGCAGCTCTGGCTCTGCAGGCCATAACATCTCTGCTGCAGGTCAGCACTAGTCCTACTTTTTGACTTAGTCCCTGCTGGAGACTGCTGCTGACAACACAATGTATGAACCCAACAGGCTACGCAAGCCCTGGCACACCCTCCTCGCTGTGGACAGGGGTTGGGGCAGAGTCTGGACTCCAGCAGTGGCCTCCAGGACATCCCCTCTGACACATATGAAGGGTGCTCTGGGAGCCATATGCAGGGCAAGTGCCAACTGGCCGTTTCCAAGCCCATTTCCAAACTCGGTGTGTCTGAAGTTGGGCGATTTCATAGCCATCTGTTCTCTAGGACCAGAGTGACCCCGTGCCAGCAAGGTTCACAGTGTCGCACTCTTAACCCCAGGGGATAGAGCATGGCCCAGAGTTCATTGGCAGCTCTGTGACCTCAGAGCAGAGGCCTCAATGCCCATCAGGACCAACTACTGCTTGGGCTCACCAGTGGGAGAGAAGCGAAGTGAGGTCACCCTGATTTCAGGTTTGAAGTGCCGAGAACTCATGTCGCCTGAGGAAAAAAGAAACAATGACAATTAATTACTAGGCAGCACACCCAGGCTGTTCACCTGATGACAGAAAACCACCGTGCAGATCCTCCCCTGGCAGGAGCCCTTGACGGGCAGCACCTCTGCTCCTGGGCCCTGCACAAGGATGAGGCAAGAAGCTACCCTCCCACTCTGCCTGCCTATGTGACAGGTAAACCCCACACAGGGGCTGTAGAGGCTGTTTCACGGGTGCTGCGCAGTAGACCAGTCCTTGAGGCAGACACTACCCAGGGCATCAGTACCGGTCACAAAGCAGGTGGCTGCTCCAGGAAGGCCTCCCATCCAGGTGGCTGCACAGAGGGGTACTCAGGTTTTCCAGCTGGTGGACTATCAACCCAGGATCCAAGCGGTCCCAAGTTTCCAGAATGCCTGTCTTTCCACCCTGTCTCTGTGAGGTACATGCACTCCTCGTGCCTATGGGCCGTAAGCACCACCCACATCAGCGACAATCCTCCTTGTGCATGGGATGGCTAAAAGTGGACACCTGGCCCCTGGGAGCACACAGACAGGGCCCAGCAGGACAGGGAGGTCACAAGCAACAGCCAATGTCTCCTGCCTGAAGGACACCCTGGGGTCAAGCCAAGTGGCGTAGTGCAGTAGCACTGACTTCATACATTGTAGCCCTATCAAGGGGCAAAGGAGCTGTCACCCAAAAGGAGCCAGGGTGTCCATTATACCTGTGTGTGGGGGCCCCGGAAGGCACCTCTGCTCACCTTTCCTCACTCCTGGCAATGGTATCGCAACTCCATCCTCCTCCCCCGCATCTTGATCAATCAAGGCCAGGTTGCCAAACTCTGTCATTTTTCTTCTGTTTAAAAACTCCTAGAATATCAAAAGCCATGGATACCACAACTTTGAGGATGGCCTCCCCTCTTACCCTCATCTCCCTTCCTCGCTCACATGCCACCAACACTGAACAGGCTCCCACTCCTATTTGGAATGAGGACAGGACCCACAGATCCTGAGAACAAAGGGACAGGGTCCGGTAGTGCGTAAGGGGTGCTCAGGCCATCTATGAACCTTTCTGTAGAGCCTGCTGCAGATGGCACGGTGCAGCCGCCAGCCAGAGCAGAGGCCCGAAGCCCTGCAAATGCCACTCAGTGCTGATGTGCACCACCACCACGGGATTAGGACTGTCACTCACAATGGGGTGATGACCCATCCAGAAAATGCCAAGGGCTCTCCTCCAGGGAAACTTTGGAGGACTGTGGGTTCTGACCTTTATAGGGAGTGGCAGGGCCCACCCATGCTCAGGCCAAGAGAGCAGCCTGGGTACAAGCAGAACTGTCCTTTATAGGCCTCAAACATCAACCCCAAGCCTGGGCATGCAGAGATGCCCATGCCCACCCATAATCCCCACTTCCTGCATTTATAGATCAAGGACAACAGAGACTGGGGCCTGGGAAGTGAGGGCCCAATTCTGGAGCCTGGTAGGCTGAACTTGTATTTGAAGCAGCACCTTGCCCAGCAGCCTTGCTCACCTCCATGGCATCCAGAGAAAGGTTGCAAGAGATCTCAAACTTCTTCATGAGGATCTGCTCCCGGACGTGGTAAATGCACACAAACTTGGACATGCCTCCTGCCAGGATGCTCTGGCCATCAGCAGAGTAGCACAGGGTGGTAAAGGCCCTGAGGAAGAGGGGATAGGTGGACTGGGCACGGCCACCAAGGACCTGCAGCATATGGGCTCTTCCAAAACCAGTGTCAGGATGTAAAGATCCCACACCAGCACTCTGTAAGGTTCACTGTCCAAACCTAAACAAGACATTTAAAGCCCATGACCTCCCATGGTACAAGCCCCACCCCACTTCCCTACCCAAAGCCGACACGCACTTCCCCTTCGCTGAGTGTTTGGCTGTAATCTTGTCCAGCTCTTTCCTGCCCGTCTTGAGGTCGTGCCTGCCCTCAATGGAGCCCGTCTGCACGGCATTCTCAGGGTCCCAGAAGGTGATCTGTGAGTTCAGTGTGGCCACAGCCAGCTCGGCGCCATCAGGACGGTAAGTCACAGCCAGAGCTAAGCAGAAATGGCAATTCAGGTCTGGAAGGACCCCAGGCCCCGGTGGACAGGCCACCCACTGCAGTGAACCAGGCCACATCCAGCAGATATGAGGAAACTCCTCCCAGGAGAAGCTCCAGCCCCTGTGTGTGAGGAAAGCCATGCATTCTACAGCCAAGAGCAATTCAATACCAGCCTCGGCAGATGTAGAGCATGGCGGGGTCCAGGAGGGGCCCAGCACCCACAAACGCTCAGTTGAGGGGTAGGTGAGGCTGAAGAGGTGAGCCGCACACAAGACAAACATCCTAAGGGGAAGTGCAAGACAACCAGGAACACAGAGCCCTTGCAGAGACACAGGACACAAGCGCCAAGCCTAGACCAAAGCTATGAGGGGATGCTGCAGAGAACCACCAGCCCTGGGTTGGCAAACTTTCTATATGGGGCTAGATGGTGGACAGCTTGTCTTCACAGGCTGCGTGGTCCTACATGTATGTGCTGTAACGTGACAATAGTCACAAGACAGCACACGAGCCCAGGCTGCATCCTAGGAAACTCCATTACAAAGATGGGGGATGGGGGACAGGGGCCCATCTGGCCTGGGGGCCATGGTTCGCAAACCCTGGACCAACCTTAGGGAGAACCTATAGTCCAATCACGGGAGAGGCCACAGGGCAGGTAGATTTCCAGTCTCCAGGCCACTGATAGCTAGCGTGTCCTCCTGGTGCCATAACACCAGCTGAACACTGGCCACTTATCAGGAATAACAGTTACACTCATGGACAACCCCAGAAACCAGCAAGAGTCCTGCATCCTCACCAGGGCCATCCTTCCCTATGCCTTGTTTTCTGACAGACAACTCTAGGGCTCCAGTCAGGTGCTGTGCAGCACTGGGCTGAATGCCAACCTGCTTGGGCCCCTAGGCACCCAATCTCAGGTGGTAACATGCTGGCAAGACTGGATTAGTACCCTTTTCCCCATCCACCAGGTTTGCATCTAATACCCAACTAAGAACAGGATGGAGGGATGCAGGAAAGACTGGAGCTGAACAATGGCAAGACAGCAGGACTGGTTGCAGGCTGTGCCTGCCTCAGCCACACTGCTGGGCTCACCGTCAGAGGTCAGGGCCAGAGTCTCTTTGGTCCTCCAGCTGTCAAACATGTCCCACAGGCGCACTGTCCTGTCCCAGGATGCACTAGCCAGGATGGACTTCATTGGGCTGAAGCACAGGCCACTGATGGGCCCCTCGTGGCCAGATATAACCTGCAACAGGGAAGAGGAAAGGAGGTGAAACAAGACAGAAAATCACCCCTGGTTCTTGAAGCTCCATGCTAGACACACATGTACAGAGGATGTGGCCTTTGACACCTGCCTCCTGAGCATCCAGGCTTGGGACCAAGCTCTGTCTCTCTACATTGCTGAGGAGAACAAGGGCACCAGGCCAGAAGCTGCTGTAAATGGCACTGCTTATTTCCAGGTGTAATCCTGGCTCCCCCTTTTCTCAACCAGGGCCAATGCACCTGGCCTCATACACAGATGATACTAGGATGACATTACGCCCCCTCTGCCCTCCCCACAAGGCCCATAGCCCGGCCTGAAAGCACAGCTGCACTGGACATGCCACGCTTACATCCAAGAGCCTGCCTGTCTGCATGGACCACACGAAGATCTCAAAGGAGTCCTGAGCCCCAGCAGCAACGACCTCCCCGCTTGTGTCCACAGCCACGCAGGAGAACTGGGTGGGGCGTGGGGACGTGAAGGTGCGGAAGTTTCGGTACCTGGCGGAGGTAAAGACTGAGGTCAGCACCACCCCACAGCCTCACCCTCTGCCTACACCACCCTTCTGCCATGTGTCTCCTGCATGAGCTAGAGCCCTGGACTGCAGGAGAGAGCCCTCACCTATGAAGATCAAAGGCCCGCACGGTCCCATCCATGGACGAGGTCACGATGACGTACCCAGTAGCAGTAAAGGTCACACCAGTCACCCCACTTGAGTGCTCCGTGAAAGTGACAAAGCAGAAGCCACTCAGGGTGTTCCACACCTTGACCTGTGGCAAAAGTGCAAGAGAGGAGGGTACAAACCCTTTCCCACGGCCATAGCCGTCCTGGCTGCCTGGGTCTGACACATAAGCCACTCTGAGCAGGTGCAGATGCCTCCCCAGGCCATCTACCCCTTGCTCCACCTGCCACCTTGAGAAGTAGGGCCAAGGCAGGCAAGGGCAGACAATAGGCAGGTGTCTATCTCAGGCACACAGCAGGCACCAGCTGCTGGCAGTCACCATGAAGTAGACAGAAGATGACAGGCACCTGCACACAGCTAAGCCATCTCCAGTCAGATCCCAGCAAAATTAAATGCATCATTCCAGGAGCCCAGACAAGTCCAGGGAGCCAGGAAACCTCGGCTGAGTCCCCCTCCCCCAAGAGCCCAGCTACTACCACTGTGCTCCCGAGCCGTACCTTGCCGTCGTCCCCACCGGTGGCGATATACTGCCCATCAGGAGAGTAGGCCAGCGTCACCATGCTGTTGAAGTGACCCTGCTGCTTGAGCACATACGACTCGCTCTGCCACTCCCACACCAGCAGCTGGCCCAGGCCTGCAGGCAGAAAGCGGCTGCATACCTGCTCACAACACTCCGGCTCAGTCCAGCCCAGGCCCCACCTCCCTACCCAACCAGGCCAGGAGAGGGACAGGCTCAGCAGACCCCAGGGCACAGAGGCCTGGCTGCCTGAGGAGCCTGCCAGGACCAGGTCAAGTGCTCCTTCAAGAAACTGGGCAAGACAGTGCCTCAAGCAAGAAATGACAACAGGGTTTCCAGCTCAAAACAATTACCAGGGATGCTTCTCTGACTTCCCACACATAGGCCACTTAAGGGATCTGCTCAGAGCCTGCTCAGAACAGGCCTTTGGAGGCCTAGCCCCTCTGCT